ATTACGTGCCTGACTCTTAGGTTTCCAATATCGCCGTTTCAGTCTCTTATATAAAACCGCCTCGTTGCTTCGTCCTCTTACCCCTTCCGTTATCCACTTCATCTTTTTCTTATTTCTTTCGTTAGGTCGTAAATTTCGGGAGAAAGGAATTCGAAAGTTATTTGCGCCATTATAGGGACGTGAAATAAATCAGTATTAGTGTAACTCTGCTCCTTTAAACGTCTAAGTTTTCTCGGGAAACGATCATCCAACCTTCACAAGTCCGCAATTTATGAAAGAAGCGTTACAACGAAAATTACATATATTTTACGGGGTATGCCAGGTCCGGACTCAGCGTGACGCGTTACGACAACAACGACCTCCGTACAGAAATAATACGAAATGAATGAGAAAAGCTAGTCTTGAATAGTATTATAGTTTTCCAGGCTTTTGGACCGTGGAAATGTTGATTTATGGACTATCGTGCATGCACTAATTCAGATTATCCCAGATCTTTCATTTTGCACTTGATTGTGGACTCATCATAAGGTCATCAATGGTTGGACAAAAAAAAACCTTTGGGTGTTTCATTCCCACCAGCCAGTAATGCTGGTGGGCGGACAGTCCCTCCGGACTACGCCGGAAGGTAGGGCGGAAGGCCCTCTTCAGCCTTCTTTCAGGAATCGTGGGAATGGGTGGGTGGTGGTTCGGGTGAGAAAGATGAGACGGACGAAATGAAAACAGAAGAGAATGAAAGATTATCTGTGGAATATTACTGCCTCAGCATTTGCCTAGGTGATCCAAGTAAACCACAGAAAAACTTGGACCAAGGCAGACGGACCCGGAATAGAACCGGCGTCCTCCCGAATGCTAAGCAATGGTCTAAACCTCTAGGACACGCACCTGCACACTTTCCTATCCTGAGGTAATCTTAACATTTCCCTAAAACTGTAACAACCCACATCCTTAACTATTTGCAAACAGTAATCTAATATAGGTCTACCCTTACTCCTCCTAAATCTCCTCCTGTCTTTGCCTCTAATATGTCTCTGAATAGACTTTCGTGCCTAAGAAGGTGTCCTACCAACCTATCTCGCCTATTTCTTATTGACTTCCATATAGTTCTCTGTTCTCCTATTCTTTTTAATTGTCTACAGTATCCTCATCATTCGCCTGTAACCACATTTCGAACGGTTCTAACCTTTTCTTTTCCGGCGCACCCACCGCCCATGTTTCGCATCCGCACAGTGCCGCTTTCCAAACATACACCTTTAACAATCCTTTTCGAATTTCTAAATTAACCCTTCGCGGTAATCCTTTTTATTGAAGGTAACTCGACCCTGCGCTATCCTCTGCTTTATATTCCTACCACTACTTTCGTCCTGACTTATCTGACTTCCTAGATACCTAAAATCAGCCACTTCTTCTAATCTTTCGTCTCCTATCTTTATATTCTCTCTTTCTCTACTTTTTCTTCCCTTGCATACCAGAATTTTTGTCTTACTTTTACTTATTTTCATACAATACTGTTTTATCAATACCTCTTCCATTCAATTAAAGCTATCTCTAACTCTTCCTTGCTAGATTGTGGTTTGTGAAAGAGAAATATCGTTTACCTTGAAATAGCTAGATTTTTTGTTACTAATGGACAATACTAACGCATAATAATCCTTGAAAATTAAATACCTATACTAGAAGTAGTTGAATATTGTTCCGCTTAATTTGAATTATTCTTTCTATTACATCGTTCTGATAAATCGTTCCTTCTTACAGAATGACAGTGAGTTATTTTATTAGCAAGTCACTCTACTTTTGAACAATGACATAAACGTTCCAGATCATTTTTATTTGTTAAAACGATTTCAACCCGCATTATGCAAATCACTGGAACGTATAATATGTGATTCCAATTCTTTATATTATAGGTTGATACTAAAGAGTAACCCAGCGGGATTGGAAAACCAGAAGCATCAACAACCCACACGAAATACATACATATGTACGTCTCTTATTATCCACCTGCTGCTACGTCTTGGCAAGTCTCTTCCGAACATAATAAGTTAAGATGTATACGCTGCACATTATTTTGCATACGTTTATCATGACGAAAGTGAAGAGTTAATGTAAATAAGGAGTTTGAATCGTTACTTGCAAATCCTGCGAGCAATTAATTATACAGGGTGTGGCGTTTGAGAAAAAAAAACACGGATTTTTGACAAAAAGTACAACAAAAGAGTGTAATAATGTTTTGCAACCCAATGACAATTAATTACGCAAATTATCTTCCTAAAATTGGACCCTTAATTCGTTTGAATATGGGCCTCTAGTGGACTAGACTGGCCGGCGTTAAAACTATCACAATTTTTTCAAAATTTTTCAAAAGTGTTACATTTTAAGTTCCATATCATTGATTATAAACGTTACACCCTGTATACAATACGTCCAACAGAGTGTTCTGGTTTTTGAAAGAACAAAGAACTGAAACTAATTTAACGAATTGCTTGTTAAAAGTGCACCCATTCGTTCTTTCATTCATTCATTATCTTAACCAATTTAATTTACTTTATAATCTTCTTTAACGGTAAATAGTGCGATTAATAGTCCATGTAAACTCTGAAGAATAACAATTTCCCGAGTCGCGACAAAAGTTTTGTTGGCAAAAAGGGACTCGAACAAATCATGAAGAATTTACAACTTTCAAACTACAAAAAGTACGGAGAAACTTATGGTTCGCTATTCCGTCTGTCGGATGGGAGCAACTTTTCAAAGAATCCGGAGACATCAGGACCCTTTTTTACTTTCTGGTAATGAACTGTGTAACTACACAATTAATCCAAAAGGTAGTAATAAAGTGAATGCGACGATAAATATTTGACATTGTAAACGACAAATTGGCTTGGAACCAAATTATATGGGGCAGCATATTATAAGGGGGTAGGCATATAGAAAATATCCAATAAAATATTGACGTCGCGCTTAAAATTTCAAAGAAAAAATAACCTACGAAAACAAAACCCTGCAATAATAAATTGCATAATAAAATAAGGGTTAAGACTAAGGTGTTGTGTTATGTGGTCGTAAAAAATTTGTCATTTTTTTTGTTGGACACTACGAAAAATGTTGAACTGTTCCAGATAACAATGTAAACCGTGGATATTGCAGTAATATAGAACATCTGCCGCAGGAATAAAGTTGTTTGGAGTCCGTGCTTTTCGTCCGGGGTTCATGGCACCTGTTAGCGGACGCTCTCCGCCGCGACGCGACGGACGCCTCGCTTCAATTGCGAGGGGTCCAAGAGGGAAACGGATTTAATAAAAATGAACATTTATCATGCATTGTTTAATGTTCCCGTTATAAAATGTGACGTAAAAGAACGGCAGTTTGGGCGCAATTAATAGCACTCAGATTTTATGTGCGTGCGATAGGGATGGGAGAGAGGTAGGGTGGTGGCTTTATTTGCTGCGGCAGATGTATTGCGACGTTGTTTGGTTTACGGTCACAGTTGTCGATAAAGTTTGTCTGAAAACTGTAACACGCCATGTATAATGCGTGCCGCAAATGGAGGTATAATTTTAAAATTTCGGTGAGAACGAAGTTTTAAAGTTCAGTCGTTAAAATTGACCACATTTCCATAAAATTATCGTTTAACTTTTATTTATTCAATTCATTCGCTTTAGAGACAAATAAATTGAAAAACTCTCTTAAAAATATTAGGATGAAAGTAGAGTTAGAAGTAGTATCAACTTTGGTCGCTGATTCTCGATATTTAATATGTAAGAGGTCACAAGGCACATGATAGCGCAGGGAAAACAATAAGTGCTAGTTCACACGACGCGCATGGAACGCGCGCGTTCGAAGGGGCGTCAAAAGTCTTGCAGAGTACAAAGTCATTCTTACGTACGCGTTTCGTCGGCGCGCTGATTTTAAAACGCGAGCAGACCGATGGGACATTGGTTTTATGAGTGTGTTCACACGAAGCGTTCTATCAGTTTGCAAAAGAAGTTGCCGCTTTCTTTTAGTTTGTCTGCAGTAAATGCATATAAATAATGGCAATACAATTAACCATCTTCTGTTGTTCGTCATTGTTGTACTGACACTGAGTTCGCCAAACACACCGTATACGACAAAATTTCTTGACTGTGAAAGAAGAAAGTCGTTATGATATTGGCAACGCAGCGAGATTCTATTCCGTTGCTCGGTTAACCAAATGCGCCCTTAGGTATTTTATTTCTTATTTATGTTTCTCTATTCAGAACTGTTCATAGAAGCCGATAGAATGTATCACGCATGTTGTTCCACCCTTTTGATACTATAATTTATTTCCACGCGTGAACCATCTAAACACATATCTAAACCCCAATTTACTGCAAAATATCAATTTTCAAGTGTATAAGTAAATGCCAAAGGAAAAGCTGTTATAATGGAGCAACTGTGTGAAGATGCAGAACTAATTTTCGTTCAGTTTCTCTGCAAGTAATACACTTTACGTATTTCAAGATAGCTACACTCGCGGACAATAATACACTTTAGGTGTTCCAAAAATAGGAACGTAATCTCATAACATAGCAGCACCTTTGCAGTTAACGACTCGCGCTGTTTTTGTTTCGTTACAATGTGAATTCCTTTTTTATTGCCTAAGCGTGCTCCGTTCCACGGTTTCGGGATAAGCGCAATAGTAAAGTTCCTATAATTTCGGTTTAATTGTAGCAATCTGTGCCGTCTCAAACCGCCGAGAACGGACGTAATAAACCTAATTACTCGCTAAACTAACATCTGCCGAACGATCTCCTTTTTTTGTCCAGCTCGTACCGAGGGGAAGCGGTTTCGAATTTTTATAGATCACCAGAAAGTTCTTGGCCTCTACGTGAATCGCCAATGCAAACTTTTTGGATCTCATCAGCACGCTGTTATTAGTTTCGATAACAAACCGTTTAATTTATTTGCTACCCAATAACTACAGCGATGTAGAAATTTGCTACTAATAATTGCATTAATTTGATGTAAGGGTTAAGATTACTCACCACTTGGAGATGTTCGGCCATAAGACAATAGTGTTTTCTTCTATCTGCAACAAAAAAGATATTTCAGCAAAATTGAATAAACGAACTTAAATAAGTAGAATTTGAATAATGAGATTTTTAGACTGAAAAAGTTCAACTTTTAGCATGTGCAATTCCAGGTTTTTCCCCGCTGGATCTTCTTTGCCGAGTTGCTCCGTCAGAAGTCCAGGCACGTGACAACTGGGGTTATTTAATTTCCAACGGAAGTCGGATGATAACGTAATTCACATGACTTAGACTAGATATCAAAGTTTGCCTAGGGCACCGAACTTCGATAGAGTCGGAAACTTTTTCAATTTTTACTCTCTGCGACGACACATAAATTCCGTAGTACTTATTGCTTGCATCAAACGTGATTTCGGCGAAGAAGAATTTGTATTATGATTTCGTGTGGAATGCCTCAAATAATTTTTCAATTAAAGCATAAAGCTTTTGGTATGCCTATACCTACCTTTATTACAAAACTAAATATAGGTAGATACCCCGCAGTTACTGATGCGATTTCAATGAGACCTTGAGAAAATGTTCTTTGTATCACTCTGATCAAAGTCTCAATGGCTACAAGTCTCAAAAGTCTTAATTTTTGGCATAAGTCTGTTTAAATTTTCCTAAGGTATATAACTACCTAAGTTTTCGTAAGTTTCGATATTTTGTAACATTTGAGACATTTGATCAGGACGATTGAAAGGAAATAATTGTATATAATAAACTTTTTGCAATGGTTCTTACTACAACACTTTGTTTATTGAAATTTCCATTATACAATTTTTCACACGAGAATGATGCTCTTTCCGGAGGTAGGTAATTCACTTTAATTTTCTTTTCCGTGTTACTAATTCAAGGCAGAAGAAATGCTTTATGTAGTAATTTTAAACGCGGAAACCGAAGCCCGGGTAATTACCATGCTATTATCCTTAAGGCGACTTGTACGTGATTCTTATGCGAAACGATCTCCTTTCCGGGGAGGCATTCCCGAAACATTTGACGGATGATAAGACTTTGTCACACCAGATCACGTATTTCATTAAAGAAACTTAAATTCATTTACAACGTGCTCGTCAATTTATTTTACCGGGACGCTAATTAGGCGTCTTTCACGACAAATTTTGAAAATTAAACGAAAGATCGTCCCTCTGGCCACACTATGATACAAAACCACACCATTTACACGAGGGTACTGGGATCCGTCAAATGGGCATACACCATCTGGTGGCAAAATTTATAACTCGAATGAGGGAAAAATTTACATAGGAACTGTATAAGCAAATTGTAAAATTGTTTATTAAAATAATAAAACACGTTAAAAAAGTAAAAATTTTTTTGATGATGGAGTCGACGAAGTTTTCTTCTAAAGTTAAATCAAATAAAAAGTTAATATGTTCAGTGAAAAGCTGCAATAGCACTTCAGACATAGATCTTCACTCTTCACCTACATTAACTACTTTCCAATAAAAACTAACCGTTTTATATATGTAAAAAATATATTCGGAAAATTAGAGAAAAAAGTAAACTAATAGAAGCTTGGATGAAAGCAGTAGGTATCAAAGAAGTGAATTCCGGAATAAAAATTTGTTCACGTCATTTTAATGCACATGATTATATTTCAGCAAGTATTTACCATCAGCCATAACCTTAATATTTAAAACTAGAATCATACTAAAATTATAAAGTGAGAAATTATTTATTCCTGTGTAATTGATTTAACACAATTCTAATGATACGATATAAGTATTTTGAGGTTAAGAACCTACCTGCTGCAATACAACAAAGTTGCAATAATGTGTTTGCAACGTTCTCTTAAATCGGCTTTGCACGTGCAAGTCATTGATATGATATTGCTTAAATCACCCAGAATCACCTCACCAATTATATAACGTGAATCACTTTTTAAATCCGAAGTTTGTAAAAAGTAGGCAGTAAACTTGACGGAATTTGAAGTCTAGCTTCCGGATTTGTTATTTCCGAATTTTATAATGTGATTGGCATTAAAAACACGCTCACCTTCAACGAAATTTCGTTTCTGAGGCTTTGTGTCAGCCCAATAACATATTGTGTCAATACTTATCATTTTATCGTAATTTAAAAAAAGAATTGCACGGTACACTATAGGAATTACGATAAATTTTCCCTAATCGGCGCCATGTTTTTAGGCTCCTTCCATTTGACGGATCCCAATAATATACCCAGAGAATACGTGAGATTATTCATTATGGATTTTTAAGACATTATCGAAAATTATCAAATTTGCAAATGTTACACTCGTTGTATTTTCAGCCTGCACAGGGAGATAATGGAGCTGGTGTTTTTAAGAAGACATAATATGTGTCTTAAGACAGGTCTTCCGGTTTATCGTCTTCAATTGCCTCTGAAGTCAACCAATAAAAGTAAACTCAAAAGCACATTAAGAAAGATTGATGTTTTACTTAACTTTCAGCACATTTCATATCAATTAGTGCCTTTTCTTGCCGTTGATGTGTAAAGAGTTATGACAGCGCGAAACGATGGGTGTAATGAGTACGTATCAGATATAGACTTCTGGGAAAAAGCAGAGCTGGAATATAGAACGGAAGCTGAATATCGACCAGTAAGTTCAAACAGAAAATATCGCTGACAGTTATGACACATTTAAAGAAAGCTGTAAATAACGCCACAAGAAAATATTAGAACAAGATAACGTAAAAACCAAAATGAAAATGAGCCAATGAGTCAAGTTCTTATCATGATTTTTTCTTTCACTAACTATACCTACCGTTAAGCATGTTTTAGAGCTAAATAATGACGATTATGTCAACAACGTACTCACTAACAGATGGCGTTTGTTACTTATTTCGTAATCAGGTTGTACGCTACTACACTCTTACCTAGTCTTTTGATAATTTCAAGGGTCGAAACAAATATTTAAAATATTGTATAATATTGACATTATCACTGGATATTGAACTTCACAACTTAACATTTAAGAGCCACATTTCGGTTGGATACACATGTAGACACACTGTCGTATAAAATGTAATTTATCATGCTCGGTTCAAACCCAAACATTGCAGCAATCAATCGTGAGCGTAGGTACAGAAAAAAAAATGAATAATAGATGTCAAACGAGAACAAAAATTTCCCTTGGAAACACTAACTGCAAACTTCAGATGCCGTAGTGCACTTTGTTGCAACACACCGAAGATACCTTTCTTTTGAATGATGATTAATGTATTTTCTTTTTCACCCCCGAGGCGAAGAAATATAACCTGTAATTTCCCCGAAAATAGAAGCTATTAATCAAAATGAGTTCGTTTTTACTATACTTTTTATTTTTATGATTCTACTTTAAACGATATGGGTGCCATTAGAGAACTACATTAATTTAATGGCGTATTGATGTCAAATTCAAGTTCCATGTTCAAAATAAGGAAGCATTCAATGGTGAAAATAAATTGGCAACAGTTATTGCTGATAATAAAATAAGCCAAATGTTTGCCAAGTTCTTTTTGGTACCTTATTAATAAATGTTTGATAAAAAACGTTAAATATTAGTAGATGGATATGTATTAATGCCCATAACTTATATGAAAAATAATTTAATTCTTCTTATAGTTTTGAACTTGGCAATTTTTTCTTCATATCTTTATGCCTAATTAGAATTAAACAACATTAGCTGTACAAATGGCAACAACTGTTGCTGTTAACAATATTTATGGTCATTTAAAAACTTGCCAAGTCCCATTTGTTCCTCCAATTAAAAACTTTTAAATAATTCATTTCTTTTTATACCTCGTTTTGAACATGGCAATTTCTTTTTAAAAGGAGTATCTATTTCTTTAATTACTATTGAACAACATTAGATGTCCAATTGGCGACAATCATTGCTATCAATAGTTATTAATGAGCTACTGTAAAGTCTCAAGTCCTCTTCGTTTTACCGATCGCTGTTACCATGTCGTATAGAGCCAAAGATATCGTTATCCTTTATCGTTTTACATGGTAGTTATATTCGTCGTTGCGATAAGCCTCGGCATCGACCGATGGTCAATATAAACGTCTAGAACCGCCGCCTCCGTTCACGATTAGGCTGATTAATTTATTGCTACTTCACCTTAAGATTATTATCTGGATTTTTGATCATGGTAAATTCCACCGAAGGCAATACCTAATAACAAATGGACGACGAAGCTCAAACTCTACAAGGTGATGGTAATAATTAAATATTTATATGTTTATTAATTACTGTACGGAACCAATGAAATAAGAGAAGACGTAGTGCTAATCCTATCTTACAGTAGCGTCACAATAGGATACCGATTAAGGGGTATTTAAATTCTCATTTAGGTACAGGTCTGACGAAGGAAGCTGGCGAGCAATCGCGCAGGTACTTGCCCATTTATGACGTATTTGGGTAAGTCACTTGGAACCGATACACAAATAAGCTTTCAGGAGGCGTAAATTATAGTATTAATACTGATAGGACAGTAGCGTACTAGAAAATAATGTAAAAACATGACTTATCAGAAAGAAAAAATTAACCTATTGCTTTTGTTTTATAGTTACTTTTCACATTCACTCTCATCATGGGAATCTCTATCACTGTCACCAACATCAACAATTAGTTCTTCTGTTTGTATGTCTATTACTTGCTCACTGATCCCTATTTTTAAATATTTAATCTACGCCCCTGATAGGAATACTGAAGAATGAGGGCTGCAATCTTTACACCTAAAACTGCCTACTTTTGCCACCGCGCATCCACGCCATTTTAAAATTTCCGCCAGCTTCAAGCGTCAGGCCTGTACCTACGTATAAATATCTGGAAAGTTTCTTTAAAGCAGTTTAAAAAGAAAGATACATGGGTATGGTATATGACATGATTTAGAAGAGGCTTTGAATGATAAATGAAATAGGTAGAAATTACTATCGGCAGGGAATTCGAAAGTTTACGATCAAGTAAGCGACTACTATCGGAGGATGAAAATCAGAAGGCGTTAAAAACAATGCTTTATGAGCATCCCATTGTTTA